CCTAAAACCCTAAACCACCCTAAACCCAAACCCTGAAACTCCCAACTTTATGCCTAGGCCCATGCCCTGCTGAGGTCTCCTTGGCTTCCTGTAGAGCGGCCCGCCTTCGAAAGGGTTGGCGTTCAGGGTTTGAGGTGTTAGGGTGTTTAGGGTTTAGGGTCTTAGGGGGTTTAGGGTCTTAGGGGGTTTAGGGTTTAGGGTTTAGGGCTTAGGGTTTAGGGTTTAGGGTTTAGGGCTTAGGGTTTAGGGCTTAGGGTTTAGGGTTTGGGGTTAAAGGCTTAGAGTTTCCCAGGGTTGCAGAAAGGCAACCATACGTGGTCATATGGTGGATTTCCATGCACTAGGGTTTGCATGGGCTTTTGAAGGTTTACGGATTTGGGGGGGGCGTATAGAGGCTTACAGAGTCATGGTGGTTTCCAGAGAGTAAGTAGGGGTCCCATTTTAAAGGGCGGGTCCTCATAGACAATGAGGATTATGGTATATTGGGCACACAACGTGTCCATCCCTTTATGGAAACTCCCATACAACAGTGAACCTAGGCCCTAAGCTGGAAGAATGGACTAGGAGGCATGTAAGGTTTAGGGCTTTTTGCCCCAATAAGCGAGAATCAAATGGACAGGAAAATGGAAGATGATACGGATTTCCAAGTTTTGGCACATGTCGCCACAAGCATTGGCACAGGGCTTTCCGCAGACTATATGAACAAGCGATTGTTCATAGGACATCCCAGCAAAGTCTTGTTCGCAAGTAGAAATGCACAGCGCTAGGATCCTTCAAAACCAGTTGAGCTATAGTATAAACTCCTAGCATCACCCTGAATATCCCCTATAATAGTCGCTAGATGCCCTTCCTGGCCTGTGATGAGTACTAATTACTGCTTGCACTGTCATCTTGCCTCGAATTACTGGTCTTCCTTCTCCTCATGATCCTGCCTCTCCCCCCCAATCCGCCAAGCCTTACCTTTCTCGATGGCAAAAAACAGGAGCCTTTTGAACACTGCCTTGAACTATATAGCCCCGGAATAATCCCAACAAACTCCGAAAAGTCAACACGTCGCCCGCAAACGGTGCCACTGCACCTCGCGGAGACCATGTCTTCATCGTCGGGGAGGTCAGCCGCACTGAAGGAATCCATGGGGAGCTCCTCCAGCTAGAACAATGAGAGAACTTGGGGGGGGGTGACACCAACCCCACAAAAATGGGCCCTGGATTGCTTTTACAGAGCTACATGAAAGTTATGTAACATGAGGTCCCATTTTTGGGTGTAATTCCCCC